GGGTTCATCTAGGGAGCCAGGCCATTCTCAGAATCTTCTGGATTTGAGCTGTTCGAGTTCCTATTGAAGGGTATAGTTGGCGAGTGCGTCACCACCCGCTCCAAAAGCATCAAAGCATTACCCCCCAGAGTTTACGTATATCTTTCTCGAGCCACACATGCACAGCAAACCACGGCTTTGAGGTCTCATTCGTGCTTTGAACTTGTATAGGTGTGTAAGAGGTAAAGCAACATAGCATGTATACGGACCCAGGGGGGGTAGCTACAATTCTGTTCCCAGGTATCGCGCGCATGAGGCTTCAAAGCTGTGGTTTTCCAGCTAAATTCAAGGTGGCCTGAGACCAGGGTTTGCTGCCCTAATTCAGGCCACCTTAAAAATGAAGGTCTGCGAAGCGAGAGCAAAGGATGCACATTGTGGGTTCATATGGAAAGCCAGGCCATTTTCAGAATCTTCTGGATTTGATCTGTTCGACTTCCTATTGAAGGGTATAGTTGGCGAGTGCGTCACCACCCGCTCCAAAAGCATCAAAGCATCACCCCCCAGAGTTTACGTATATCTTACTCGAGCCACACATGCACAGCAAACCACAGCTTTGAAGTCTCATTCGTGCTTTGAACTTGTAAGGTGTGTAAGAGGTAAAGCAACATAGCATTTACACGGACCCAGGGTAGCTACAATTCTGTTCCCAGGTATCGCGCGCACGAGGCTTCAAAGCTGTCATTTTCAAGCTACTGCAGCGTTTGCTGCCCTAAAACACTCTGTTCACGCCACCTTGAAAATGAAGGTCTGTGAAGCGAGAGCAAAGGACTCCACCTCCTCGTTTCCCAGTCTTCCCAGGGTTCATATAGGGAGCCAGGCCATTTTCAGAATCTTCTGGATTTGAGCTGTTCGAGTTCCTATTGAAGGGTATATGTTCTCGTTGGCGAGTGCGCACCACCCGCTCCAAAAGCATCAAAGCCACAGCTATGAAGTCTCATTCGTGCTTTGAACTGGTATAGGTGTGTAAGAGGTATAGCAACATAGCATTCATACGGACCCACGGTAGCTACAATTCTGTTCCCAGGTATCGCGCGCATGAGGCTTGAAAGCTGTGGATTGCTGTGCGTGTGTAGAGGTTATCGAGCGGTTGACGGAAAGGGAACTTGAAGTACTATACCTGGTAGCTGCACTATAGCTACCCTGGGTCTCTATACGTGGCAAGGTGCCAACTACACCTTTCCATTCAGATGATGCAAATGATGCAAATTGCATTTCTTGCGTCACCACCCCTCAAAAATCACCTCCAACACAACCTCAAAAAACCTTCCCTCGACGCACCCTCCTCCCCCAGCATGTGCCGAGTTTACGTGTACCTTTTGCGGGCCACCCCCCCCCCAGACCCCCTAACTACTCACTTCGTTCGCCAAACACAACTCCGCTGGCGCCTTCTACGAAGGCTGGCTTTCATATCAACCACAAACACACAACCACAACCTCACAACCACAACACAGCGCACAACCACAAACACAACACACAACCACAGCACACAACCCGAGGACCCACAAGCAAAATCGAGAACTGCAATGCTCACGACCATGGCAACATGCTCCTCACTATGGCATCAAGACAAATGATTGAAAGGCCATGGCGGGGATCACTCGAAGTAAAGTAATTTGCTCATGTTTTCTTGTCGCAGTCACTGCAGTTGAACTGACTGCAGCTCCAAATGCTTACGCAAATAATTGGACCTTTGTTTGCCGCAGTGTTCCCGCATTGCACAAACGTTTGGACACTACCTATGATGTTTGTCGGAGGTTCCGTTCATCCCGGTCCCGAAGTCGTGGATGTGGGCCTCACATCCCAAACAAGGAAAGAGTTGCAATCTGTGAGTCTTGCGGGTGAACCAATTCGAGTGCGCATTAATGGCGTTGAAGACCTTGGCGCTGACATGCAATATAGTTGTAAACCGTCTACCACCAACCGATTACGTAGGTTACTTTGCCTACCTATCAATCGTAGGTACAAACCCAAGATCAAAACTCGGTCGGTATTTGGCCTCAAACGCTACATACTTCTGGAATCCATCGGTCTAAAGTTAGGCTTGCGCGTTCTGATCAGCCGCTTTGTCGGCCTTGGGTCATCACCGTTGCAGTCAGAATCCCTGGCTTGCCTCAGGTTTGCACGGGGCTTGGACCATTGATCTGAGGTTTGCGGTTCTTTTGAGTAGGATCAAGGCTGTCCAGCATTTTGCACGGCGTTCTCCTCATGGGGTTCAACACGGTTTGGACAAACTTGCTGAACCGTCGTGCAAGTACAAGGAAATGATTTGTCTTTTAAAGGGCCTTGATCAAATTGGATTTTGCCATTGAGGGTTCTCGGCTGATGCATCCTGCAGGATACACGTGAGACACTTTCGAGAATATTTGTGTTGTCTTCATGGACGCTTGGCGTCGCCATATGTTTGCAAACAGGTTATATAATCGACGTAAGTTCTTCAAGGGTTTACATTCCCTTGAGACCTTCGATGATAACGTTGCCAGAAAGTTCAACCCTAAGCATGTTAGTTTGTATGAAAATCTCAGAGTTGGCGCGTTGGCGACCAATGTCCTATGCAAATTCACGCCCCGGTTGGCAAAATGCCCGGTGTGGGATGGACCTGACTTGCTTCATCATCGACATTGTTAGTGTTGTGCAACTGAGGCCGTTCAGGCCCACATAGGAGACTTTCAGAAGTTGCCCAAGCATTCCAAGTATTTGGGTTTGTTTGAAGAAATTCCGGGCTGCGCCAAGCTTTCATCCTTTTTGGCTAAGACTTTGGTGCGTGAGAGGAGATGCATTTCTGCTTCCAGTGATGACATGTTCTTTAATGGTTCTCGTTGTTTCCACTCTTGCCGCAAGTTGAGGTTTGCAGGGTTTGCAGTCACCAGGGTTTTGCCGTGCGGTGAAAATCAAATTGCTCTTCGGACCCTCTTACCTGGCGCAAATCAAAACATTTGTCGATCTTATCCGAGCTGAAATGTTTGCTGGCCTAATGTCGGCAGTCTATTTCCCCAACTCCCGTATTCATTGCGATAATCAAGCTTTTGTTTCCGGTGCAAATTACTTGATGTCTTGTCTTCGAATGAAGGTTTTGTTCTATTCCAGAGGCGGGATACGCTCTGGGCGCTTTTCTAGGAAGCCTTGAACCTCTCTCGGTCAACTCAGTTGGAGATCGTGGAGATTAAAGTTCACTTAGACTTTGAAGAGCTTGAGGGTACGGTTCGTTATTGCACCTATCACGAAACATAACTTCAAGGAAGATGAAGCTGGCCAAGGCAGCCCTTCGTTTCTTTCTTTCCACCATACTGTCAGTGAACAATTCTTTGCACTCAAGGAAATAGCCACTAAACTTGCAGAGTTTCACACCAAGTGTAGTACTCTAGTTGTTCTCCAAAATAAGGCGGGTTCTCCCTCGAAAGCAGTTGGAAGTTCTGACGACTTGCTTGCGTTGACATTCTTGCCAGTGGTTCGCTTACCCGGTCTCGTGCCGTTGGGTGACTCACTTGATGATCCCATCTACCTGGAAAAGCTTTGGCAGTGGATTCGTAGTTTGAAAAGTCTACTCAGCTTTGCGACATATCGCGACATCGGCTTGAGTATGCTTGAGTGTTGGCGGTAGGAACAAATCCAGATCGGCCAAGCCTGCCCCTATTTTCGCTGAGATTTGTATGATCTCGGTTGGGGATTTTGAGGGGAACCTGGGACCGTCTGTGTTCCCGACTGAACGCGTGGCCTTCTCTAGATGTGTGTGGGGTCTTGGTGCTCGTGCTTCTGGCATAGGGGCCAGGTGTCTTCTTGAGCACGCTGCAGTTTCCGCCTTCCGGGTTTTCTTGCAATACTTCCCGCTAAGGGACCACTTATGAAACATCCTGTTAGAGGCCGTTTCCGCACTTAAGTGCATGCACGGCCAGTCCAGTGTCCAGTCCCTATGCCCTTTTCGCTTGCTCACTTCGTTCGTAATTGCCGGTCGGCGTCTCACTGTGGTCAGGCATTAGTCCGAGCCTGCGGGCGCGCAGCTTGAAGACAAAACGGCGTTTACTGTCGGGGTCTCTCTTCGGAAAAACAAGCTGGCGACAGTCCCTGGCCTCGTCGTGTCCGGGCGTTGTCCTCCCGTTGTCCTCTTCTTGTCCGCCTGTTGTCCTCTTCTTGTCCTTCTTCTGGTGTGCAGCTTGGCCGCGGCTGCCAGCCCGGCCTCTTTTTTCTCTCTTTCCTCCTCTTGTTTTCTTCTTGTCGCCTCTCTTGTCCTCTACTTTTTTGCTGTGTCCCTGTCCTGTCTTCCTTTTGACCTCTTCTTGACTTGTCCTTGTCCTCCACTTGTCTTCCTGCGCTCTTGTTGACACAACCCTCTCGGCTGCCAAACGGTCTCCAGACTTTGTCCTTTTGTTGTCCTCTTTCCCGTGCCCCAGTTTACTGTTGGGGTTCTCTCTTAGGAAAAATGGCCGCGCCCCTCAACCCTTCGTTGTCCGATCTGTGTGTCCGGCTTGGCCACGCCAAAGGCCCTGCGTTCTCCTTGTCCAGGCCGCCCTGGCCTTGTCCGGGTGTCCTGCCCGTGGCACCGCCTCTTGCTCTTTGTATTGGCACAACTTCGGGAATGAGGAACGATTGTTTTAGTTGCCTGTCATTTTTTCGCTTACTTGTCGTTCCCAATGCAAACATTACCACCAAAAACGATGCTGAAGCTGTTTGGGGTCTAGGCTTGCAAAAGTGTCTTTCGTTCTTTCTGCTCCCTGTCGCCCCCTGCTTCCCTGCCTGCTTCCATGCTTTCCTGCATTCCTGCATTCCTTCCCTCTTTTGTTTGTTGGTTGTCTGATTGAACTGTCTTTTCAGCGCATATAGTCGTGCCCCTTGCGTTTTGATTGAAGTCTGTGGAGTCTGTGTGGTCTTGCTTAATGCTCATTCTTTCCAAACCCACTTTTGAGATTGTAAAAAAGCTGCCCGACCTTCAGACTTCAAAAAAAGCAGCCATCAACAAAAGGCCGGCCTTCTCCCACATGCTCTGATACTTCACAACAGCTTCTCCTCGCCTGGTCGGGAAATTCTTGCAAACTGGACGCCTCAAATCATAATCAGAAGTCGCCTGTAGGGAACGCGGTGGCCTTTGTCAATGAGCACCTCGTGTGGTATCCAGACCAGCTGCTGTTTTGATGTTTCCACCTGCAAAAAGCCCAAAAAATGTCATTTTCCATAGTGCACCTAGTCTACGCACAGATCTGCCACATGTGTTGAACCCTGCTCTAGCCTGCACAGTCATGTCTAAATCATCTGCTTGGCGCACAGTGACCTCTTGCCCTGCCAAAGCCACGCGAGATTTGTCCTTTTCATAGCCGAGCCCTGCCAGGCGACTGGCGCGCAGGATGAAACCAGAGTCGGCATCCACAACCTAAAACAAAAGCGCGGGTCTAAGCGGCTACAGCCTGAAGAACTGTATTCTCGGCTGAGGCATCTGAGGTCTCCACAAAGCTCGCCCCCACAAATTCCTGTAATGATTCTTGTTGCTGACGCCAGAAGAGCAAGCACGGAAAACCCTTCAGGTTGAAGCGTGTTTTCATAGCGCCCTTGTTGCTTGTTGAGTCCACATGCCCAAGCACAACCTAGGCAAAATGTTAAAAAATGTTTACGCGCAAAAACAATCTTCAGCATCAATAGGCAAAAGTAACAGTTATTCTTGCTCGGGATTGGTCCAACTGTTCCTTCCGCCCCCATGATGCTATCTGTCCACCGGATCCTTTCGAAGCGCCTTTGCGACCTCTTCCAGCTCTGGCAGAGCTTTTCTGCAGTGTGGGCAATTCGCGTCATGGAGGAGAAGCGCAACGCTGCTAGTCTTCCTGCTGTTTCGGACAAAGTCCTTGCAAAACCACAAACATGCATTTCAGAAATAGGCAGGCGACCACATATGCAGGGTGCATTGATGAAGGATGATGAAGGGTTTGAGGTTGAGTTTTGAGCACCTCTTGGAAACCGCAAAATATGTTTTTGATTGTTTTTGTGTGCATACATATTCATATATGGAGACAGGGTCGGGGGTCTCAAGCTTAGAGACACACCAGACATAAGACACATCACGAATCAAACAACCAGGAATCACGCCCAGTCAGGGATTTCGAGGCTGCACAAAGCCAAAGACGACGCAGCACGAATCACGAATACCGAACGACGAAACGAATCATGAATCACGGACCACGAATTTGAATCGCAAATCGCGGCTGGCTAACGAATCGCGAATCACGCGGCTGGAAAACGACTTCCACACACACAGGTACATAAATATACTGACTGGACAGTAATGGTCTTTGTGCGCGATCCCTTTGTCCAGCACATCATAAGCTCTACAGGGCCCGTAAGCATGAGAGCGCGTGCGACTCCCTCTCTCTCTCTCTCTCTCTCTCTTTCTCTCTCCCTATCACGCACAAATATCGCGCCATTGACCTCTTGTCCTCCCAGAACCCTGACCTTGCAGCTCACTGCCGTGCAGAGAAGACTATCACACCCACCCAGCCATTGACCATTGAATGTCACTCCATGACATGCGGTGGTTCCGGATCGATCTCTCATGGCCGTTGGCACTTGGCTCCTTTCGTCGTGGCCCCCTGTTCCTCCTAAGTTCGGTTCGAACTTTGAGAGCCATGACTACCTTGGCGTGAAAAGAGCGCGCCTACCGGACACGTGTTGCAACAGCACTTCGCGTGGTTGTTTCAGATTGGTTGCAGTTGTTGCTACCTTCAAATTGGTAGCGGAGCCTCGCCCAGGGCCTCCCTACCGCGCTGCCAGTGAACAGTTGGTTGTTGTTCGAGCATTGCACATGGTACATTGACATTGGACGTTGCGCATTGAATCTTGCACCTTGATCGTTGTACATTGAGCGTTGAGCGCTGCCCACCTCCACACCGCGCAGATGGCGTCGAGTTCAGTTGCTGGAGAGTCCTCGAAGGACCCATGGGCGCCGACCTTTAGCAATCGGCCGCAGGACTACAGAGAGTGGAGAGCTCGCATCCACCTGTACTTCAAGAAGATGCAACTGCAAAAGAAGCCTGCTGAAGGAATCATCAAAATCCTCACCACCACGACCGGCGCAGCATGGAAACAAGTGGAACCCCAAGCTGACGCCCTGAGTGAGGACAAGGAAGGCTTCACGAAGCTGATTGCAATCTTGGATCGTGCGTTCAAGTACGACGATCGTGTTGAACAACCCAGGGCTTTCAAAAAGTTTTTCTACAGCCTTTCGAGGAGGCCAGATCAAATATTGACATTGATGTCGTTCTGCGCAGATCATCGTGCGGAAGTGTCTGGTTGGCTCCTCCTCAGGCCTGCGGGAGGAGTGGTTTGTCGCAGGAGCAGAAACAATTGGTGCAATCACAATGTGGTGCAACATTGGAGGAAACGAAAGTTGAAGAGGCCATGTACTTTTTGTTTGGAGAAGATTTCGGTGGCCGTGCTACGTACGACCGTCGAGGCAAGTCCTACAACGCTCCTCACACCCCAGGAAAGGGCACCTACAAGTGGCAGAAGAAGGGCTCCCAAGCGGCATACAATGCCGTTGATGAGGAACCTGACCTCGACTATATATGAAGAGTTCTATGAAGTCAAGGATGCCGAAACCTACCAGGGTGACTGGCCCGAAGCACCCGAAGAGATCCTCTATATATGAGGACGAGGAGCTGGAAGAAATCTTCCAACAGGAAGACGACTTGCCAGCTGTCGATGATCCCGAATGGGAAGAAGCGTATGCATCATACCTTGATGCCAGACGCAGGTTCGCAGAACTCAAGACCAACAGAGGCTTCTACCCAGCGGTCGCCCTTGCAGATCCAAGCACCTCCAGCTCTGCTCAATCCCAACGAAGGGAACCAAGAGCAAAAGCACGTCCAGGACTCCACCTCATGCAGAAGGGGGGGGGACATCGAGCATTTCAGCCAGTTCCACATCGGACCAGATGATTTCCAGTTCCGACCAACGGTGAAGACCCTCCAGTTTGGCGGCGATCGGTCAATGGACCGTTCACTTGCCCATTTTTGCCAATGGCATCCTAGGTCGAGCCCAGACCTTCATGTCCCAGGCAGCACACCGCTGCTGATCCGCCGCCCGATCTTGAAGGCCATTCGCATTCAGCTCAACTTCATGGAGGACACGATGAAAGTCCAAGATGGCACCTGGCAACCCATCATCATGGGTCCACGCAATGAGCATCTCTTGCAATTGGACCACGGGCTCGAAGATCTGACCAGCACCAAGGACTACCAGTTCGACTACATGCTGGAAGAAACCTTCCAACAGCTGACGCTTGAGCCAGAAGCAAAAGCTGCAGAGCACTACACCTTATGGCACTACCTCGAGCTCACAGGCCTAGAACCACCGCAGCTCACACATGAGCAGGCCATGAACACGCATGATGATGACAATTCAACACGGAAGACAACATCACCTCCGATCCGGAGGACATGGATGATGATGACACCCTGCACCGACGCGCTCTCACGGACAAACTTGTCCGGAGTTTCAGAGTGCACCAACAGCACCTGGCACAGCAGCACAAGGCCACCATGGAGGCCGCACTCCAAGCACATGCAGAACACCGCATGCAGTTCTGGGAGATCTATGCAGGGGATGCAAACCTAGCCTCAGCCATGCAGGCCAAGGGCTATGTAGTCAGTCCGCACCTTTGACATCCTCAGCGGTTGGGACCAACCCAAAGCACCAGCGAGAGCTGATCCGGCTCTACTACCTCACATCACCAGACGTGATCTGGCTCGCACCACCTTGCACAAAGTGGTCACCGATGCAGCGCCTGAACATCCGCACCCGGGCCGATCAAGACCGACTGGAAGCACAACAGCAGCACGAGGAGGGAACACCGGTTCAGCAAGAACCTCCACAACAAGCAATACAACTTCAAACACCCCAGGTATGCTGAATCCTGGAACACTGAAACACTACAACAGCTAGAGGGACATGACGCACAGATGGAGCAACCCTGCCTGACCACGAAGGCATGGAGCAGTACATCCGCAAGCCAACCACCCTGAGGGTCACCTCAGACATTGGCACACCTCCTTGAGCGCACCTGCCAAGATGATCACTACCATCTGCCCATTGAGGGTAGTTCACCCAACATTGGCAGTCGAGCAAAAGCCGCACGCAGCTACCACCCACAGATGTGTCAGGCATGGGCCGAGATTCCCCACTACTACCTCCAAGAACACTACTGGCCACATAAGAGAATCAGCACTTCACCAGGACACACCAGACTCACCTCACGAACCACAAGCGGCAGACGATGAGCCGACCGATGAGCCACAAGCCGCAGCAGAAGCGGAGGAACAACTGACAAACAACAAAGGCATCCTGACCCGGCTTCAGGAAAAGCACTTTGCAGCAGCACAGCGACCCGTGCAGCGACTCCACCGCAACTTGGGTCATCCGACCAACTTGGAATTGGCCCGCATCCTCAAAGAGAAGGACGCCAGTGCATCCATCATCGCAGCAGCACACAGCAACACACATGCACAAATTGTGATGCAAACCGGCCACCACCTCAAGTACCAAAGAGCAGTTTGCGAACAGGCGGCAGCTTCAACGCACGCGTACAAGCAGACAGAGCACAGCACAGTCCTTACACCAGGCCAGTGGCCCCAGATCCTGAGGAAGCACTTACCCGCAGCACCTTCGACGCAGACCTGGCCAAAGCAGAACAGCTGAGACTACCACCCGGATGGACCTTGGAAAACGGCTTCCTCGCTTTGGAGGACAAACTCATCCGGAAACATTATTTACCACGAGACACCCTCTTTGATCCAAGCGATCAGGCAGCAGGATGTCCGCTACCGCTGCACTACCTCAGCAAAGACCGAATCACAAGAGCAGCTGGTCACAAAGAGACCTATGACCGCTGGAAACAACAAGGCGGCAAAGCAACAGCACAGACCTGGACAGGCCAGACAGTCTTCAAGATCTTACCGGCATTCCGCCTACTGGCGATGGACACTGTCTACAACATCAGCGGAGGACACGCCTCCTACCTTGAGCCGGCCAAAGCCAGAAAAGACCAGCTCAGTGAAAGACACATGAGGCTGGCAGACCGCTTGGCATCATGGAAACCAAACGCAAAGAGCTTGAAAGCTTCTTCCAAAATGATGTTTGGGAGATGGTGCCAAAAAAAACGGCTCAATACCAGCCGATCGAATCCTGAAGGCCCATGCACTTCATCCTCAAATGGTCCAAGTGGCCGAATGGTGAGCCCAGGGCAAAGGCCCGGTCGACCGATTCCAGATGCACTGTCCGGCACCTTGAGCACCGACTCACCCACACTGTCCCGCGCGGGAAGAAACTTCATCCTCAGCATTGCCAACACAGGCTGGAACACTTTCAGTGCTGATGTGAGCACGGCATTCCTTCAAGGAAAAGAGCACCCAAGCCACAGAACACTGTGGATCCAGCTTCCGGCCGATGCCCGCAGGATGCTTGGCATTGACAATGAGCACAGCACCACCTCACTGATGAGGTTGAGAAAACCCATGTACGGGTTACGCGACGCTCCAAGAGCCTGGTACACAGAGGCCAGAGAGCACATCGCCAAACTTGGAGCAGTAGTTCATCCCCTTGACCCCTGTCTCTTCCTGGTCCACGACTATGAAGCACCAGAAGACTGCTTGGCCTTCAATATTGGCACGTTGCAAGAAGCAAACAAGTGTTTGAGGTTCGCAAAGCAGTACTGCGACGTTGGCCTAAAGTTTGACCACCTGGGGAGCTGCAAGGATTTGGCTTTTAAAATTTTGTTGCTTACAGTGACGCAGCTTTGCGTC